CAATGCCGCGCGCTTGCGGGACGCCGGCGTACGAACACCTCCTCTGCCGACTAATGGGGGAGTGAGTTTGGGTGGTTCGGCCAGTTTGCGCCTGAGCGACTAGACGTGAGACGAGCAAAAGTATACGAGGAAAGGAGATTGTTGGAGGTTGCGGTTTCTATGGCTTTGATTTTAGATAAACTAGAGAAAAGTACACTAACATCGGTGCCTGGGGTTAGAGAGTTCTCCTGTTTCTGCCAACACAACTAATCAACCCCAAAAGTGTTCCATTGGGGTAATTTAAGTGCAAGTTGGTCACTGAGCGTCCCCTAGTCTTACAGTGATCTTAACACAGTGAAACTTAACACTTAACAGCAGAGAAAAACCCTCGGCAAATAAAGAAAGAAAAAAATTAAAGAAAGAAGTGACGCGTCAAAATGTCAAGTTTCAAAATCAACAAGATAGTTGCCATTGATTTCAAAAACCACAAAGTCGTAGACTTTGATACGAATGTCTATATTTCGACAGGATAGCACCTAAGTGACAGTTCGACGGTCGGTTTTGATTATGTGCACAGCGTGTTCCAGCAAGCTGAATGCAAGAGCAATAATTTGCGCGTGAATCGGTTTTAAGTGACAGTAGGACTGCATAACACCAACCGTACACTCTCTTCCCTCAGCCACGTGTGCCCGGTGTCAATAGAGCCAAGAAAACCGGACGTTGGATCGGATGCAAGCGGCTGGCGGGGCCGGGCCGTCCCTATGCTTGCAGTCACGCTCCCCTGTTTGGCATTTGTTATGGGAGTGCAGCCCTAACAAGAACGTTTGCCGTACCCTAATCAGGCCTGCGAGTTGGTCCAGTGCATATAACACGCAGCCCGTTTAGGGCGCAAGTTTTTCAGTAAAGACCGTAGTAATAGCCTTAGTAAGGTTTTCAGCTACCATAAGTAATCTCGTTGCGGTTTAGGCTACGCATGGTATCGTTATGTAGGCTGATAGGCAGCTCGACCTATCACGAGATGGAATGTTCTGCCTGTGGACATCGTAATATCCCTAGCCATGGACACATTTGAAGAGGAAGCTCGGCCAGTATAGCTATACCTACCACCACGCCATCAGAAACTAACACACGTTTTCCCTTGTATTATTCTGAATGTTACCCGTTTTAGAAAATGCTAGGCCCTATTGTTCAGTAATGTTATTTCCTAATTGTCTCGTCAGATGGCCTGTATGCATCGGGGTTTTTCTCTTGCCACGTTATCATAATCAATAGAAGTTCGAAAGCGTTCGCCTACCTTTCCCATAATAAAGGTGAATTGAACGAAATAAAATTGGTCAACACAAGGGGAGTGACGAGCTGCGTGAAAAATGAATTTGGATAATACACGTTTCCTTCTCTATTCACATACGGAACAATGAGTGAACAAGCTCAATATGAATAGTATCGTGATAGGCTACGGCAAATGCCCTGTCACTGAGCTTCTATCTACGCGTTCCACGACGTGACTAGCTTTCTTGTACCAACATAATCAGTCAACGGCTGTTACACGCGCCTGCCAGGGCTTGGCTGATATGCTGAAATCAGTTTCATTGAACAATAGAAAATGGCTGCATGGCAAGTGAGGTTAGTGAAAGCGACCGGTTCAGGCAACTAAGTATTTGCGATAGTTGCCTCTGCTAAATGCAAAGGGACGGTCAACAAAATACTGATTTATGTGTGCACCACTATTTTTCATTACTATACCCTTTTTATGCCGTACTCCCTTCCTTATAAAGCCTTATAGTTAGCGTTATTTCAGTGATTTAATCAATAGCTTTTTTCTGAAATTCTAGTTTTATGTAAAAAGTAGGTTTTATTATTATACCTAATCTTAAATTATGCACGAAACTACACCCCCTTTTTTGAGAACTATAATTTCTTTATTCAGGAGAGCAAGACGTTTATTGACGTATGACCTCGGGAGACGCAGCCTGAGTGAATTTTGCGAAACATGGGTTTTCTTGTGAAATTCGGGAGATTTCATGAGCTAACAGGTTGCAGCTCATTAAACGAGACCCAGCCACACATTCAAATTGCATGAGG